TTCATACGTTGGGCCAACGTGAAATTCCAATGTTGGTTAGACGTTACCTCTCCGACCAAATTTTGCAACCAAACACCAACGTCAGATATCCGACCCCGACACTTGCCAACGTTTACCGACGTTGGGCCAACGTCGCTTTGCTAGCTGGGATTATGCATAGAAAATTTGCAAGTGTATGATAATTCTTTAATGTTTGTTGTATATCACAGAATACCTTAATGGTATTGAGCAGAAAAATCTCACCGGAAATGCTGGGCATGTCCATGCCATTGCGAGGAGAAAGTTTGTCGTGGCAAGCTCTATGAATCAGCAAAGTTGTCACATTCACAACAGGAACTCTTGTGACATTGTTGGGTTGGGTGTATAGTAAGCCAGAACTTCCATCAAAATAGGTTTCATGCGATGTTTGTGGAAGGTGACTATCCAATAGCTCAGTATGAATGATTAATCCAATGGCTAGATGACCTTGGTCAGTAGATATTAGCAGAATCCCTAGGATAGGAATAGAAGACATACAAATAACTATTATTCTAAAAGTTTGATAATTGTATACAATTGGTATTTACTGTATACCTAGTAAATGTAGACTTGTTTTTTACATCTAGCTCATGTACTTTAATTGACTTGCTGGGTTTTTTTTCATTACCTTTTCTATTAAAATTTTTTTAAACGTAAAAGAATCTTATGAAAAGATTTGATATGTTGAAATAAAAATGATGAATGATAGGCCTACTGTGTGAAAAGATATCCTGACAAATAAAGTATAAACTTTAAAAGAAGTACAAAAGACAACAGTTACTGCATTATGTGCACCGCTACTGCAGGTGTTATTATATTTCATATATAATCCTTAAATGGGCACCTCTACTGCAGGTGTTATTACATTTTATATATTAATCCTTAGATGGGCACCGCTGCTGCAGTATGGGCACCACTACTGTACTGCAAGTGTTGTTATATTTTATATATTAAATCCTTAGATAGGCACCGCTATTGCATTATGAGCACCACTACTGCAGGTGTTGTTATATTTTATATATTAAATTCTTAGATGGGCACCGCTACTGCAGGTGTTGTTATATTTTTTTATACATTAATCCTTAGATGGGCACTCCTACTGCATTACAGGCACCGCTACCGTCTGCAGGTGTTGTTATATTTTATATATTAATCCTTAGATGGGTCCTGCACTGCATTATGGGCACCGCCACTGCAGGTATTACACCGTTTGGTGATGCCTACGAAACAAATGTGCTTACGCCCTCTGTTGCTTTTTTAGTCCAGAAATTGTGTTAAACCAAAGGTTAAACAAAGAGTACCGTATACCCTTTTAGTTCAAAGAATTGGAAAGTGTTGGGTTTATTTGTGTCGAAGTGAGAAGCTTAACTAAAAAATTAAAGTGTTAAATTGTGATTTACATTACAATTAGGCGTTTCTTAAGACCTAGTGGATAAACCAGATGACTCTGAGATGTGGTGTAATAATTAATATTGTAATGAGAATGCTTGCTAGACCTAGGGTAGAATGCGATCCAACTCGGCCACAGTCAACTCGTCCACAAAAAGTTCGGCTACAGTCAACTCGGCCACAAGTCAACTGCAGCCTATTTACTACACTGGTACTAAACTTTGAAGATTCTTTAAAGTCTTATTGTTATTATTATTGCTGTTAATAATATTGTTGTCATTGTTATTTTTGTTTATATTACCCTTAGTTTTAATAAATAATTATTAGTCTTAGCATAAACATTATGTATTGTTTATATTTTTGCTGATATTATTATTATTGTCACCATATTATAAATAATAAATAATTCTCGATTTTTTAATTTTTATTATTATTATTATTATTATCATATAGGCCTATTAGTCTTAGTATTATTATTTAATATATTTAATAAAACTGAGTAATATAATATTAACATTTCATTTTAATTATTTTATTCTATATATATATATATAAAACATGTTATATATTATAAATAACTTGTGGCCGAGTTGACTGTAGCCAAACTTTTTGTGGCCGAGTTTACTTGTGGCCGAGTTGACCTGCTTCCAAGTGGCTAGCTGACTAGAAATACTGTCTGTACAGTCGATCGGGCCCAAAGTGGATGTTTTCGGATCTCTACTCTCGAAAGGAAATCTCTGGAATGGAGGGTCCGGTCCAGTTTCATAGGCCAAATTGTCTGTAGGCAAAATCATTACAGCCTATTTTGTGGCTGTCTTTTTTATTTGTGGATATTTGATAAAGAAATGAATAAATAAAATTAATAAAGGATATGATAATTCAGGGGCGCATCTGGGTTCAAATTTAGGAGGGGGTCAGAAAGATTCCAAAAACCCCCAAAAAGAGAGGGGGCCCATAGATGGCGTGAAATGAGCTTTCCCGACTTCTGCAGTGTCTTCAACATTCAAGGTTTTATCCCCTCTTGAAAACGGTCACTAGTAAATTCCTAGCATTCTTATTACAGTAAATAGGCCTGTTTTGTGTGTACCGGTATACATACAGAAAAAAAAATTCAGTAGTTGAATCTTATTCTTTTTTCCATGAATGGATGAACCCCAATTTTAAGACCAATGGTAAAATATGTGCCCTAATCTCTCAGACTCTCAGTTTACAATGATTTACAGGTATTTTACTCTACAAAAAAAAAAAAAAAAAATTGCTGGCAGAACCTTGGTAAAATTGAACTTTGTAATTTTCATTTCTTTAAATTGCTTTTTAGATCCCACAATATTCAGGCATCATGGATCAAGAATTTTCTGTTAAAGAAGAACCAACTATGCTCGGATATGAAAGGAATGATAATCAGAATTCTAAAATTAAGGTTCAAATAGGTTAGTTTTTTTTTTAAGTTACTGCTTTCATTGTAATTGTTAACAATTTAGATGCAATAAAGGTTGCCTGATTTAAGGTAATAATATACACAGTATATATATATATATATATATGAAATTGCAAATGAGCAAAATATTATAATATTATATGTGCTGTAATATAATGAAAAATGAGGTGCAACAATGAACAGTTTGATTACATTGCATCAGGTGACCAATCCTGCACCATTATACTATAAAGCCATAAAGCCATGTTCGACTTTCTGGGTGAAAAACCGCCAAGACACAGGTTATTTTTACTGAAAAAAGTCCAATGCGAAGGGCTTTAGAAAATGTTATTAGTTAACTTACAGTATACATGCCACTTGATCAATTTAAGCAAGTTTAGTCTGTCCATGAAAATAAGCCTAGATTTCAAATGTTAATAGTTGCATGCGAGTAAAATATGAATAATATTAAGATGGGCCTGTAATCAAAAAATTATTATTATTATTGTATCTGAGATACAAGTATCAAATGAGTAATTTCATTCATTCATTCAAATAAACATCTATCTTCATAAAATATAACACTGCAGTTTTAATACAAAATAAACAACTCAATGATTTTTTAAGAGGGCATAACCAAAAGAAAGCAAATGCTTGTGCTAAAAGCAGTAATAATAATAATTATTATAGTAATAATAAAAAGTTAGTCATAATTATGTTATAATAAGATATGATAATTATATAACTTTTGCACAAGATACAGCAGTACTGTATACAAAACAACTGTCTGTCCATGAAAATAAGCCTAGATTTCAAATGTTAATAGTTGCATGTGAGTAAAATATGAATAATATTAAGATGGGCCTGTAAAATTATTATTATTTTTATTGTATCTGAGATACAAGTATCAAATGAGTAATTTCATTCATTCATTCAAATAAACATCTATCTTCATAAAATGTAACACTGCAGTTTTAATACAAAATAAACAACTCGATGATTTTTGAAGAGGGCATAGCCAAAAGAAAGCAAATGCTTGTGCTACAAGCAGTAATAATAATAATAATAATAATAATATGAATAATAATAATATAGTAATAATAAAATATTAGTCATAATTATGTTATAATAAGATATGATAATTATATAACTTTTGCACAAGATACAGCAGTACTGTATACAAAACAAGAGACAAAAAACAAAAACAAGGACATAAAAGACAAACTGATCATCTACAGTATTGGAGTGGGTACAACTATAAATAAAGTTGTGCTTAATTCTTTGATTATTCACAGTTGGTTTTTTATATGATCAGGTAAACTATTCCATTATTTGCATCCACTAAATCTAATATTCTGTTTTGTTTTTTTGTGCTGGGGAATATGCAAGCTGAGTGCAGATCTAGTACGGTAAAAGTAGTAATATATGAGTTTGGATGGTATACTGTAAGTTACATAATTGTGAGGGGTGTAATTTGTCAAATTACATTGTTTATCTGCAATATAGTAAATTGATATTTCATCATATTTTCTAGGCCAGAACAGTGATTTCCTCAGCAGTGATGAAGACAATATTAAAAACACAGGACATTTTTTGATGTCAGAAAAAACAGAAATTTCTGCTTGTGGAGAGGAGTTTAAAAATACTAGCACTTTTGAGACACATTTGAGTATGCATAAAAATAAAAAGATGTTTGAAGACAACATTAATTTGAAAGCACATCTTACGACAGAGACAGCAGAAGAAGAATATGATTGTGACCATTGTGAACAAAAGTTCAAAGATGGAAGCGCTTTGAAGACACATTTGGGTATACACATAGTAGAGGTATCATACGACTGTAAAAAGTGTGGAAAGAAGTTTGATTATTATGGCGCTTTGAAACAACATTTAAGGAAACATATCGTAGAATGTGAACTGTGTAAAAAAAAATTTAAAGGCTATCGTGCTTTGAAATATCACTCACGGGTGCATACAGAGCAAAAGAAAATATATGAGTGTACACATTGTGGAAAGCATTTTAAACATCATGGCAATTTTAATAATCATTTGAGGACACATAAAACAGAAGAATGTGAATATTGTACACAAAAGTTCAAAGACCATCATGCATTGAACACACATGTAAGGATGCATAAAAACCAAGAGCAAAGATATGAATGTACACATTGTGGAAAGCATTTTCAAGTATATGGCACTTTGAAAAAACATTTGAGGACACATACAAAAGAATGTGAACTCTGTAATCAAACATTTAATAACCTTCACGCTTTGGAAAATCACAGACAGAATGTTCATTTGATAACACGTTTGAGGAAAAGAACAACAGAAACATGTGAACATTGTGAACAAAAGTTTAAAGACCACCAGGCTTTGAAAATGCATTTGAGGATGCATGCGATGCAAGAGAAAAGATATGAATGTACACATTGTGAAAAGCGTTTTAAATACTATGGCAGTTTGAAAACGCATTTGAGGAAAAATACCTGTACAACAGAAGAGTGTGAATATTGTAAACAAACGTTTAACGACCATCGCGCTTTGGAAAATCATAGACAGAATGTACATTTGAGGAAAAGTACAACAGAAACATGCAAACATTGTAAACCGTTTAAAAACCATCAGTCTTTGAATAAAGATTTGAAGATACATGTACAAGCAATGCAAGAGAAAATATATAAATGTATACATTGTGAAAAGAATTTTAAATACTATGTGGCTTTTTTAAAACATATTTGAGGAAACAACTGTACAACAGGATAATCTGAATATTATCTGTCGCGCTTTAGAATATCATAGACAGAATGTACATTTGACAACATGTTTGAGGAAAGGAGAGACACCATAATATGTATATGAACATTGTGGAAAGAAGTTTAAAGTAGGGAATGTTTTGAAAAAACATGATGCTACATACAAGGAAGACCATATGAATGTGAACAATGTGGAAAGAAGTTTAAACAGAAAGGCAGTTTGATAACACATTTTAGGATACATACAGGAGAGACACTTTTTTGTTTGTGTGTGAGAAATGCGGAAAAAAGTTTAAGAGAGGAAGTACATAGAAAAGACATTAGACGATACAGTAGGCCCACGTACTAAAATAAAAATGTGAACATTGTGGAAAAATGTTCAGACACATGAGCAAGTTGATTCATGCAGAAGAAAAAAACCAAAAAAAAAACCACATTTGAAAAATCATTTGATATCACATACATGAGAGAAATCATGATTGAAACAGTTCAATTTCAATGTAAAGCACTGTACCATTGATTCCAATGCGTAGTGCAGGATATACCACATACATAGATTTCAGGGATCCGATTGGTTAGAAAGTGGTAATAATTTCAACCATCACTCTTATGACGCACTTTGAATAATAGTTCATAAATTCCCAGAGAAAAAGTGCTGTCACGTTAAGTACTTTTTTGTCCTGTCGCAATGTAATCTCTAAACTGCACTTATACCGTAACTTTGCTGTGTGTGAATGACACACACTGTAAGACGGTAAAGAGAACTGCGACTTCTACGACGAGAGATTGGCCCTTTGACCGCCTTGGCCTACACTAAGAAGTAAGCTTAGGCCTACTTTGTGGGTACTCTTTTTATTACAGCTCTCTGTTTAGTCTTTTTAAGAGTCTATGTACAAGTGGTACAGTACATATAACACAGTATATGTACAGTATAAAACAAAAAAAATGACTTACTAGATTCGGGAAACGGTGAAATCTATAGCCCCTTGCTGATGTGGGGACTGTACTGTAGCTTACTATCTCCCTTGGGCCTTTGGCCCTTCTGAAGATAGAGTTACGGTCTCCACATAGCTTCTGGGCATTATCTCACCATTCCCCTCAATATTTGCATTTGTACATATGTTGTATGTGCAAGCTGCTATCCAGCGTTAGTAAGCAAGCAGACTTTTTACTTCAGTTGTTGCTGAATGTTGCTAGTTGGTTATAGGCATGTCATTGATTTCATATATGCTGAATAACATAAGTCATCAATTATCCACATCTTGTCGTGATTTGTTGTAATGTCCGTCAGTTTGTGGATTGCACAAATGAAATAGCCATTTGCATTGAATGCAGAAAACTACAGTACTATGTACTGGGTAAAGACCCAGGTGTTGCCATCCCTTGTAAGGTGCTGTTTGTCCTTGTGATTCATACAGTGTTTTGAAATACTGTATCGTCATCTGCACATCGTTGTTTGGACCAGACCTGATCTAGGTGTGTGCAGGAATTCCTCCATGGTACAGGGTTATTCCCCTCCCCAAAAAATAGAAAAGAAAAGAGATTAGGAGCACAGTACTCCACAGCAAGCAAATTTTTGATTCTTATAATTTAAGGTGTCTTTAAAAAAATTGTTTCCTTGACAATAATGATCAGTTTTACTACTTAATTATTCATATATATATATGTATGTATATATAAATTTAAAAACGGAATAGTAGAGAAAATCCGATCCATATAATATATATACTGTCTCTTATACACATCTAGATGTGTATAAGAGACAGATATATTGGAGTGGGTAAAACTAGAAATAAAGTTGTGCTTAATTCTTTGATTATTCACAGTTGGTTTTATGATCAGGTAATCTATTCCATTATTTGCGTCCACTAAATCTAATATTCTGTTTTGTTTTTTTGTGCTGGGGAATACTTTATCTTACTTCTTATGTAAGAAAAAGGATATAAAGAAAGATATACCCTGTATACTGTATATGTACCAGTGTCTACATGGCTCGATTTAACTTTCTTTGGCAACTAGCCCACTGGGCTAGTTTACGGTATATTTTAATAACCCAATGTCTATTTTACAATTTACTAGCCCAATCATTTCACAGCAGTAACATTATGGTCTTGGCCAAGCATACTTGTCATCTTTTACTTGTGCGTCAATATGTTGTTGAAAACTGAAAAGGTTGGGGGGGGGGGTGGTGGTAATGAGGAATTGAAGAATTATTTAATTGATTTTAAGGGCTACCATTACCATTTATTTCCACATTAAACTTCCAGAATATTCATCTTAAAAAGCTAGTGTTTCAATTTATCTTATCAAACATTTAGCGCAGTGTTTTTTAATTACCGTCAACAATGCCTGTTGATGGTAATTTGTATGCCCGAAAATCCCTGTGTATAGGGTTCACAAGTAAAAAGTTTATGGCTTAGTATGGTCCAAATTGTGCTTTTATTCCACAATATTAGCGATTGGTAATCAAAATAACTTTATTTGGATAGGCAAATTATTTTTTTGTTATCGTTGATCCCGAACGACCTCGTCGGGCAACAGGGAGGACTGTGCCCTCTTCCCCCGCTGGTGTCACCACTGCAAATAATCTCATCCAAAATTACATAAAATCCCAATTTATAGCTCGAGACATTAACCATACTGAGAAAAAGTGTGCGAGATACTATAAGAGTCGAAGTAGGCCAACAAAGTAGTTGTTTGAACATTTTTATAATTTATTAGTTTGATTTCAGGAGTCAGTTTCAAGTTTCTTAGTCGTTTTCAACAATAATTTCAGTCTTTTCCACAGTAGGTGTGTTAATATAATCTAAATACTGGACTACCACAACCCGGGACATCAAGAAACTAACACACTTTTTATTTCTCAAATCTTTCGTAGTACAGTATTTGCGACTTTCTATCATAGTTAAATAATAGTTATTACAATTACTTGAAAGGCAGTGGCGTGTCCCTAAATTTGGCTCTGTTCTTGGCCAACTAGATGCAGTACTAAGGCCATAATGAGCAGCAAAATGTATGAATTGGTGGGGGGCTTATATGCCAAACATACAAAAATCTTCAAACTCAGGATTGTCTTATTATACGCGGCGGATCGCCTTATACGCGAGAATTTACGGTATACCGTCGTCTTGCAATCGAAAGCTTCCTACTATCTTCCTTGCCAGATGAGAACAGAAACACCAAAATTTCTTCAGCATGTGAATTTGTAATAGTTTATTGGTAATTCTTGTTTTAAGACATTAAATGCCCATTTGTATACTGTAATATAACTGCATAAGTAGTAATAAACATTTGGCTATGCAAGGGTGTAATATTCTGTAAAGCATCACTAACATCGTATTTATCAAAATAAAAAATTAACAAAATGGCATGTTTTAACTATGACAAATTTTGTGAAACTTTTAAAATTTCTATAATTAGTAAACAAAACAAATTTAAAAAAACATGTCCACTGATTACACGAAGTACTGTGTGATAAATAATAAAAGTATTACCATTTTGGTAACTTTGAGATAATTTTTATAGTAGTTGATTGCTAAATTAATTATGTAACAAACTATTACAAAATAAAAATTAAAAAAAGATCATGCATAGGTAGGCCTACTAATGATTAAATAAAAAAATAATAATGTTAAAAATAAATAAAATGAGCCTTCCAACAATTATCAAACTTATTCTCTTTAGGGAAAAATATATATTAATTTAATTTCTTATATCTATTTAAAAACCCCCTTCACACTTATTATTTTGATACAATTTGTTAAGCCCTGTCCAGATTTTCAATTTTATTTGACAAAAACTTGTGACATGCCTAATGTTCATATGACATTACATCATGTCTATATATGGGCATACAACAATTTTTTGTCTGTTAGGACAATATACAATTGTTGCTGTATAAACAAGTATTCCTGAACTGGTTATGAAATTAATAACAACTCACACTGCCATGCTGTGAACCGGTTATTACCAGTTCAAACCAGTTACATCTAAATTAATATCATTATTTAAATATCTAAACTTTAGTTCTGAATCTACATTGTTGTATTACACGATCGGTTTAGTCAAATCTAATGCAATATTATAAAAAACTCTGTATCAATAAAACAAAAAAACGCACACAAACATATTGACTAGGAATGCACAATAAACTGGACACGTACTGTAACAAAGAATCCATTTTTTTAAAAATGCGAGTGCTAGCAATGCGATCTTTACCAGGTGTGCCTCGTCACAGTCTCCATGGAATCGTACTGACGACTTGGCCAACACAGTACGTGTCCAGCTTTTATATGTCCGGAAAAGCCTTCACCGGCCATTGTCAAAACAGGGTCGCTATCACACATGATTACTACTACGAGTGACTGTTAATAAAGATAGATTATTGCATGTTAAAATGCTTTTTAAAATGATTTAAAATCTGATACCCGTATGCCATAGAACTTTAAGAGTGGATAGTGTACATCAAATTGATTAGGGTTTATACTATCTTGTATTACATTAAGTACCTCTATGTCATCATCATCATCATCATCTTTTGAAGTCTGTTTTCACCGCATGCGAGGGTTAGACAGTTTGAAAGCTGTACAGTTAGCTGTAAGGTGGGTGTATCCTGCGAGACCCGTTAGTGAGAATAAGGGCAACTTCTGTACTGAGATTTAATCTGCAGAGATCCCCCAACCCTCACAACATCCTGCCATGACTTAAGTGGATGACCTTGTGAACGAGGTCCATCAACATCAAGTTCTGTGATACGCCTTGGCCATGTGTCAATCGTGCCAATCGTGGTGACAGAGTAGGGGTCAAGGACACATGACCCTTCATCAGGGAACCCTGGACCCTCTTTTGCAGGAGCCAATCATTTTGTCTAAGAAGACTGCTTTAAAAAGCCTATTAAAAAAATGTGCTCAGCACCAACCATGGCGAGGTTGAAGTGCATGTCAATCCCTCATCAGGTGCCTGGCGCCACCAATGCTAAAAAATCATCATCTGGCAGTGCATGAAGGATCTGTAGTACCGGTATAAATTTTACACATTATCACAATTGTTATATTCATTTATAAAAGCCGTCATGATTGGAAGACATGTAGCTGGGATCAATAAAAGACACTACGCTATACAGTACCCTGTATAACTGTATAATCGCTTTCAACAACTGCTTCTAGGCCTTTGGCAGTAGGCTCTGTTTGAACTTGTTGAGCATTACCATGATCTATTCTTCTACCTCCACTAGTATCCCTGCTTGGTCTAGCACAACTTTAAATACTTCAATCTCATCCTGAAGAAAACAAATATTGAGGTCCACATTATGCTGGTACAGTAGATATACCTTGGAATTTGATTAGGTAGTATACAGTAATATAATGCCAAAGAGAATAGATTTGCAAGAGGTCCAACTCTTGAGGTTTCATTGGAACGTAATTCTATTTTCAAAAAAGTACTACAATGTATACAAAATCAGGGCAGTCGGACCTCTTGCAAATCTATGCTCTATGCCAATACTTCTTAGCGTTAGCGTGGTGGTTACAACACTGCCAAAACTTCATTATTAGACATAGCAGAGCAATAGCTTGGTGTTTTATTTTTGGTTCAATTCCTGCCAATTATCAATTTTTCTTTTGAAGGCTATGTTCAGACACAATGTTAATTGTGTGGTGTAAACTTGTGCTCTGTGTAGCAAACGCCAGTATTAATGCTCAATCACTGGAGTAGGATAATCCCCCAACAGACCTCAGATTAGCGTATGCCACTAAGTTACGAGTCATGCATCACTGATTTTGAACTCAGCCAGAATAAGCTTAGATGTAGACAGGAAATAAAATGCACGATTATGAATTCCTATATTAAGAGCAAATACTTTCGATTAACATTCATTAATCACCCAGTCTAGACATCTTGATAGTTACGCCATAGATACAACGTCATGGTTACTGTATGTTAAAATAGCAAATAAAAAAAAACTGTATACACTTAGTTACCTCAAAATCTTTAAGAGCAGTTTTCACTACATCATAGCCATTGATTTCTTTGGTAACAACACACAGGAATCCACCACCACCAGCTCCTGCTAATATTTGTCCATATGCATGAGGTCTGAGGGCATCCATCATGTTTTTGACAGTGCTAGGCTCGCATCCAGTTGCTAAGATTTTCTTTTGTTCCCAGTAAGTGTTCATACATGCACCAATTTTTTCCAGATTACCTACAGAACAAAAAAAGTATTCTCTAAAAAGTGATATACAGTCTGTAACAAAATCAGAAAGGAACGCCTAAAAATTAAATACAATAAAATAATTTCTCATTTCACAAGCATCAATAATAAGTATATTTTTCTAATTTATAGTAAATAATAAATCAGAAATTTATATCACGTCAATTCAAAAATATTATCAAAGGCACCAAGAGAAAAATAATCCAGACTAAAAAGCCTGATAAAATAAGGAAGAGTTAAGATTCATTTTGAGTAAAACTAAATTTGCAGTTTGCAGTCTGTCTAACAGAAATGAGTCGTGATTCCAAAAATGTAGGGGAAGGGGGGGGGGAACTGAACAGAAAAGGAACATTGACCATGTGTTTTATTTTATGTTTAGTAATAAGTATATTTAATGGACAGCTTAGTCTGTTAATCAGTGTTCTCCTCATTGGCACCACAGAGCCACTAAACAATTATATGGTTCATTCTTTGGCAATCCTATCCTATCAATATACTTTCTCATTTGTCATAATGTTTATTGACTTTTTTTATTAAGTTTATTGTTGCTTTGGCTAAATATACAGTTAACTCAAATCTAAAATGACAATCAAAAATTGTTTGACTTAGATAAAATCGACTTATAGATTGATAAATAATGGACACAACAATTTGACATATAAAATAAGATCAACTTAGAAATTATTCGACTTAGGCGAAGTCAACCTAGGCAAGTTTAACAGTATTAAATGAAATCAACTTCCGATAGACACAAAAATTAATACCTTCTTTAAAGGCATCAAAGCACAGCCAGGCATTGGTCTTCAGATTCTGCACATTGTCAACTACTTGTGGAATCCGTGCATACCAATTTCTTACAACTTCTTGAAGCAGATTTCTACCAATGAAAATCAAAACAGAAAAATTAAACAAGTTATAGATAAATATGTAATAACTGAAGTAAACAGCTGTTTAACACTGATATTTAAAATCCAAATGATTGAATTGAGCAGCAAACTATACTTTCTTTTTAGGAACATATTTCTAATTGTCAAATTTGTGGTGACTACTGATGTGTATTTACCTAGCAAGGCGGGTTTTTCCAGTGTAAACCAGTACAAACTGGTTATTAAATTTGGCCAGCATATTGTCTGAGATGTCCACATGTGTGATGTCAACTTTCAAAGGTAACCCTGCTTTACAATGTCCAATATTGATACCTCCAGTTAGGCCTTTAAAAAAATTGAGAAATGTGAAAAAAAAAAACAATATGGTTGAGAATTCTACTTTGAAATAAATTCTCAATCCGCAGACTACAGTAGTTCAAATACAGAATACCAATTACATCCGGAAATACTTGCAACTCGATGGTATTATTAAATTATACGAAATAATGTAAAACGTACAAGTCCAAATTATACTTAATGAAAAAGGCAATGATAATGGCAATAATAACCTCCAACTTGGTCTTGCCAACCGCCACCAGTTGTCAAAATTTGTTCAAAGTGAAGAACCTAAGCCGAAAAATAAACAATGAACGATAAATAATTAAAACAAAAAACTGTATTAAATTATATAATGCAATGTAAAGCATGGTTAGTAAATGTAATATAATTACAGATAATTAAAACTTACGGCATGTATGAGTGACGAATGGTCATAGGATTTTCCTGAAATTCTCCACAGAACAGCTATCACAGCTCCTGCTAAAATACTACTGGTCCCCAGACCTTCAAAAGCAAATCATCAAAATTTGAAAAAAGCGATTTCCATGATCTCTGTTTATACATCAAAATTCTTCTCTATTTTAAAATTTTTGTCAGAGGTCGGAAAAATTGTTCAATAATAAAAAATAAAAAAAATTGTAGAGTGGTCTACACTAGTGTATTAAAAACATTTTTTAGAAAAAAATTATTTTCATATGGCACTCTGTTATTGAGTTATGATTTGTTAAATAACATGCTGTTAAAAAAAACAGCCTCGAAGCTTACTACATTTTTGTTGGTTACGCACCACAGATTCTCTATATTTGTCATCACTTCAGTCTACCGATTTGTGGAAAAGGTGTATTATATTTCTCTGTGCATAATGATAATTATGGGCAGTTAACTTCATGAAGAATATTAATGAGAGTGTAAAAAAACATGCAACCATCCTGAATCTGCAGGAGACTTCCCTGCCAGTACTGCAGGAGTGATCCCTGCCAGTACGGATCCCTGCCACAAAAAAACAATTGCTTCTCTTTTCTGAAGTGTTGCCATCATCAGTTCTTTATTTATTTCAATATGTACCTGAGCCATGAGGAACATCAGACCAGGTATGCAGCTCAAATCCACCACCATACCGTGACTGAAGCTGATCAGAAAGGGACACGTCAGATGGAAACGCTACGACCTCAGCACAGATGAAGGCTGCCTTCAGAAGTGCACCTGTACAATATGCAAATCAGCATTTGCGTGTATTATGATAAAACAAATTATCACAAAAATGTAAATATAACATTTTGACTTTTCTTTGATTTATAGGAATTTTATATTCATATGAATATATTGAAACATCTGATGAGGATGATGATTAAGTTAATGATAATTATGTTGATGACGTAGCTGCTGATATAATAATTCAAACAGTACTGACCTGGGGCTTGTGGATTATTATAATCTTGAAGATCATCAAGAAGATTGCACTCCAGAGCGACACTTGGACTGTAATTACTCTTCAGTACCAGTGATATATGTGGTCTGAAACAAAAGTTAACTTCAATAATATCTGCATAGTGCAGGGTGTTTCATATAGTGCACTGGAATGGACTATTCCAATATTTTTCAGTTGTGTTTAGATTGGAAACATCATCCATGTGTATGTGGTTACAGAACTTATGGCACTAAAGAAAGTCTCTAGAATTATTACTATATATACTTATATATTTATAAATACTTACTCAGGAATTTTTTTGCATTTTGCACCTATTGGGCGCTTTCCATTCAATTGGATGGCAGCATCAATCACAGCACCTCCACTCTCATACGTGATTGGTGGAGTATCTGACCAACCACCAGATATGTCAATGCGTGCTGGACAACTGACAGTCACCCATTTTCCCATTGCTGGTGGTTCACAAGGGGTAGTTGATATAAACTGCAATTCATTGAAACTTAATTTGAAATACATATATTTTTTCGTTTATTTTTATTGGATTTGTTATGTATGTAATTATAAATTGGAATTAGTTTAGGTTTTATATATCAGTGTTCACATTACAAATCTTGTAATGCTTTGAAAACATAAAATTAGTAATACAATTTAAACCATTATGTAAGGGGGCTATGGCTTAAAGCTGATCAGACGAGTCTAATTTATTATATAGCCTGCTCCACAAATCAGATGAAATTGACGATTTATTATATCTTTGTATATAAAGTTACTGAATTGTGGAATTGGATCATTCAGACTTACATTCCTAGCAGACATAACAGCATGTCGGATTAAGATCTGTGCAGCACCTTCATAATGACGCGCTGCCCTCACAAGTCTCACAGGTTGGTTCATCCAATCACTACGCACTTTCTTCAGAAGTTTAACACCCTCTGCGATTCTTTCACTCTATCAGGAATTGAAATGCAAAATTGAACATATTTTGGTCAGTTCAAATGATAGGCAACTTCTCTCACAAAAGGTGATAATGTATTCTAACTTATTAGGATTAAATTAGCAAACCTCAAGTAACTGGAATGCTGGTTGCCACTCTGTATTTGCAGCAGGGCCACTGCGAAGACCGCCCTCATTGTTGGCCAAGGCCCCAAGTACACCAGCAATACACACAAGCGTTCTGGCTGCAACACCATTTGACGAAGACGTACTAGCAACTGGTTGAAAACAAAATTTAAAAGCTCTCAAACACAGAACATTATTATTTGTTTTAAAATGGTTCTTTTAAGACATGGTGTTGTACTTACAGATAAATGATTAATTCTGTAACATGCAGCCCATTAACTAATTTCAACATCTAACATAATTCAACCATTTGAATATAATGTAAAAGGATGTTGCTGTTTTAACATAGCATGAATTGAATTACATAGATCATCATAATGATGTTTCTGTGCTTTTTCTCACCTTCGTCAAGTACATCCAGTAGTTGATCTGCATAGTTTTCCGTGACCAAACTCTTGAAAAGTTTTTGAAGGCCATCGTCGGTACCATTCTGAAGAACATCCCATATATGATGTCTACTAACTTCATAGAATAACTCTCTACAAAAGAAATTAGTTAGTGGTTGTCTCAATTTTAAATATTTTTTTTTCTAATATCTTACATCACACACATATTATTAAAAGTCTTTTTCAATATCCTAATTTAAATTTAAATATTTAAAAATTACCTCCTCCAATCAAATTCATTAGCATGATCAATAGAACACATAATATCCTCAAATGAGAGTCGCCATGAAGAGCGCCACCTAGCAAGCATTACTGGATCTTGCTTCCCAACAACCAACCATAGGACCTCTTGGATACCAACCGTCTTTGTATGATGCCATACTGGGAATAGTTTTGCATTAAACAAAGTCTGATCATAGTCCGACTATATGAAGAAAACAGGGTAACATACGTATTTACAAGCGCAAGAATTTGTTTATGAGTACAGTACTTCACTACCAAAGCATTCAATAATACTCAGTGCCTCCGTCAATATAAAGCGAAGTTTACATTGCTTTTCAACTGATGTATATTTCTAACTTAAATTTAACCATACACTAGAGGGGATTATTATGTCGAATTTGAATAATGCATTCAGAAATTGCCTTCTGGCCTACAATATTTTCAAGGATAATGTAAACCTCTGTGAAATTATCGCAATTTAGTGCATAGAATATAACTATACTAATTGTTTGTGAACAAATTATACAGTCACTTATAGATTCAAGATTTATTAATACCAAGTTGTGTATATAATATTGTATTGCAGTTGACGAACATTGTACAGTATAGCAATATATTACTCACTAGATCAGGTGCCCATAAGTCTTCTGCCAATATTCCAGTTCTGTTGCTGAACATTACCCATGGTTCATTGCAAAATAACAACTTTCCTTTAACAAAAGGGTTCTGGGAAGGTGATGGAAAAACATTACAGTATGTTATTGACATAAAATTTCATGTCTGATGTGTATTTGCCTCAATAAAGAATAAGTATTATAAATCAATTGTGACATCAGCATTGTAATTTCCAATATTCTTTTCCTACCAGTGAACTAATTTTTCATTAGTGCATTGTTTGCTTAAAGTTTTTTAAGTTCATGTACAAAAAAATTTCCACGAGGATATGATATGCAACTATTCAAATTTCTTATTAGTACATACTATATAATAGTCTATATCAGTAAAACATTAGTATATAAGTAAACTGGCACTGGTGATAAAATAAATAAAAATAATGTAGAGATGAATAATTACTTGTAAATGGTCCATCTTGCCCATGATGGTATAAACACGAGTTTTCTGTTTCCTTTCACCTCCAAGTTGAATATTGAATCCCTGGAAGACTATGCCAGCATCAAATTCTATGTTATCCTTAAAAAAAAATAATGTTGAAATGAATAAATAAGTCACTCTCACAATCATATTGTTGCAATTTATTTTTCATAGACAGGTTGTCAAGCACCTTTTCACCACCTCTAAATCCGCCACTGCAGGCTCTATAAACTCTAAGGCTGGTATCTTAGGCACCAAGCTACAGCCCCACCTCATAATCACAACTAATATTTGTTTGATGTTCCATTTAATGTGTGAATCATATATACTGTATAATTTACATACTTTTGATTATGACGATAAAGTTTATTTTGTCATTTGATAAATAATATAAGAAAAAAATCGACCTACCACAAAATCTGTTAGATCAACTCCATACAGCATAGAATTTTTCCCAATATTCATATTGCCCTAGTAATTAAATTAATAAGTTAGTAAATATACTATTTACCATTACAAATTTTACTCCCTTAATCTTCATTGTCTTCCTCATCCTTTTCATCATCAAAATTATCATTTTAATCATCCTCACCATCAATACCATCATTGTTATTATTGCTTTCATCATCATCATCACTATTTGGTACATCATTGCCATTCCATGTCAGGAATATCTGTTTGTCATTGCCTGATAAACAGTTGATTTTAAAACCACTGATAATTTACCGATTTGAATGAAAAGTCGAGGTCAGACTGGTGCTTTAAAATTCAATTATAGTGTAACTATAACAAGGGGAAGATTGCAGATTTAAGGGGGGGGGGGCAGCCCGGCACCTGCCTCCTCTTTTGGGAGGTAAAAAACAGAAAAAGAAAAGAAGAAAGAAAGAATAAGAAAAAAATGATAGCTCTGAACGACCTCAAATTTTATTTTCAGGCGTCTAGAACACAAACATTTTGAGGCAGTGTTGTCTCAATAGGCCCAACTTTCGGCCCCCACTTTTGGACATCTCTGGATCCGCCCTTGACTATAACTATTTCATCACTGTTATCAAAACCATCATTATCACTATCATCATCACAATCAACATAGTTTACACCATAAGAGTTGAACCAAAGGTATAATAGATTTAGATTACAATAATAAACATCCCGATCATTATATGTGGCAAAGACAAGCCAAACCAGTCACTCATTGCAAACCGTGTTTCAGATATAATGGCCAAACATGCTTGAATGTCAAAATTTTAAAAATCTATTTCACTGCACCAAATTAATCATTATATATCTATACATCATGCTAAGCTGTTATTTTTCCCATTTCCAATGTTAAAACAACACTTCTTTATGATTTGAGAAAAGCCTGAAGCGTAAAATTTGAAAACTGATGTCTCAAATATTGTTCTTTAAACAGCTGTATGTTTCATAAAGAAATGTCAGACTTAAATGATTCTTTTACCATTTTATAGCTCTCATTTTACTGTTTAACCATGTATTAATAACTAAAAATTGATTTTTACTTGGAGTGACTTGTTTGGCTTTACCAAATATGTCATACATACCTTGATTTTACAGTGTGAGATGACACAGTTTACGCCAACTTTAACATCACCTTCCAGTACAGAGTTAATTACCACACTAGGCTCATCAATCATCTCAGGTTTCTGCAATAAACACATCCGTCAATGTCAACGAGACTACTCCTTAGAACATTCATAAGGAAAATATGTGACCAATTATATCATGTTTTACTTTACCTGGATATGACAATGTTTCCGGTTGGTCCAACTGAAAAATTTATCTTGATCTGATTGGAGAGGGCACATCATTAGGTACCTTCGAAATTCAGATGCATCTTTGGTGAAATAATTATAGCTGCCTTCTTGAATAAGTTCTATGGAAATATAGATTTCCAAAGTTAATGATAATTATAGTATTATGAAGAAGCTGAAAATGATGACGATGATGATAATGATGATGATGATAATGATGAAGATGATGATGAAAATGATAATGATGAGTATGAAAATGTTGCTGCTGATGGTAATTTTTTTTATGATAATGGCAATGATAATACTAGATGATTATAGTCTTTATGAATATAATAAATGATTATATTGATGATAAAAGATGATTTTTATTATTTACAATGATAATACAATGATGACAATAATGATGACAATGATGATGACAATGACAACACATTATCAACTATACCTGCTTGTAACCTGATGCCTCTGAGATTTTTCCAGATGAGACTTAAAGCCCTGGTTATATTTTTCTTGTCCAATTCATTCTCATTTATGCCTGTATTGCGCTTCTGCATTCGATTGCCTGATATGAAATCTTCTTCATTCACTTCACTTGCCATGCACAATAGCACATCAAAAAACAAGGAAAGCTATACAGAAATTAATAGAATAAAGTTAATACAGATTGTAATTTAAGTATGATAGGTTTGTAGTGATTTAACCATTTCATGTTAATTACCGTATGAATATTCATGTTGTTTTTCATTTTTTTTTTATAGCTTCTATCATTACTAAGTCTCTGGAATAAGACGAGACGTTTTTTTATACCTTGTTTCGCGAATCCGCTGCTCACCGATATTGACTATTTCAAATAAAAATAAAATTTTATTTTTGGCTAATTAGCACACCCACCGCCACACAAAATGGAAATAGTTTTTCTTTATTTTCATTAGGCCTGCTGCTGCCAAATCTCCAAAAATAAGATATGTATATTTCTTACTCATTATATAAACTTGAAACATTTTACCATCCCATTACTACAGTCTTCACATTCGACAATTACATTTTATTTATACTTTCTCCTCTGTCTCGAAGTTAGTGAAAAAAATCATGTTTGGTGTGGCACTTATTGGAGGATTTACAGTATATCAGTTAAATGTACAAAGTAACCAATTTAAATTTCGAGAACAATTGCTCAGCCCAACATACAACAGTTTCTAAATCACTATGCACCAAAAACTAACTTACCGAAATCAATTTGACGCCACTATCAAGACCATTAAATGTACAGGCATCCAGCGGTGGTGTGACACAAAAGGAGGCTAACTTTTCTGACACCCTAAAATTCAAGATTTAAATATATCAATATTATTCATTAAAGATGAAATGATTGCTCAATATTAAGAACTAAAGTCTATTTTAAGGCTTTAGAGAGTGAAAATGTTCCACCAACCTACAGACTACTAAATGCTATTCTTACTTTTCAGAGAGAAACACAATACCGGCAACAAGTGGAACCTTCCCATCAGGCAGTGCACACTGCTGGAGGGTGTTGGCTTTTCCCTTGTAGATAATATCCTCAATTTGTCCCTGTAAAATTCAAATGTTAAACTGTACATGGGTTTGGCAAATTTCAAAAAGCTGATCTCATATTTGGAGGTGGGGGTTTTCCTTATTTGGAGTCAAGCTAAGGTGAAATTAATTATTATCTTATATGGATATAGGGCCTATTTCCTTATTGAGAGTAGGGCTCACCTCCTTATTTGGAGTGGGACTTATCTCTTAATCAAGGGTTGGGGATTACCTCCACCATTGGGAAATGGGACTTATCTTTTTAATAATAATACTGTATTTGTATAGTGTATAAATATTTTTTTAAGATATCTCAATGCGCTTTAGAGTTGATGAAAATGTGAGTGGTAAAAAGTGTGTTTAATTCTAAAAGTAATGTAAATGAAATAGATGAGCTTTTAGTTTAGATTTAAATTAACTGATGGAGTAAAGCGACTGGTGAAGCATAGAGAAAGCTCTATCGCCATAAGATTTTGTAAGTGATGAAGACTTATTGGCTTATCTCCTTATTTGGAGGTTGGACTCATTCCCTATTTGGGAGTGGAGCTTATCTTTCTATTGGGAGGTGGATCTCATCTCCTTATTGGAAGTTAAGGGCTTATTCAAATTTGGCTAATTCAGACATACTTAATATTATTTTATTGTTATTAATCAGTTCTCATTACCTAACTGAATAATAGTAAAATATTTAAAAAAAATGCTTACTTCCTTATCAATTTTATAAACACCATGATTCAATGCGTACTCCACACTGGCTGGTACAGTAATTGCCCGCACTCCCTGGAAATTTTTCCAGTTAAGGTCCACATCATCTGGAATGTTCAACAGCATTTCCGTACTGCATACCCACACACCAGGGGGAGCATTGACAGCAATCTGAGTGGCATATATAGGGAAAAGTTTGTTGTGAATAGTATTAATCCTGGGATACACCTTTTCCATGAATCGGTAGACATCTTGAAGTGACAACAAACAACCCAAGTCAGTGGTGCGTAACCAACAGCTTAGTATTTTCATATTGTTACTGTTCCAGGTACCGATAATATACAGATTTCTCTTACTATAAAGTTATGTTTTATAAAGAAGTAGAGTATAGTAATTTATGTTTTTAACACAGGAAACTCTCACATAGTTACTAAAACAATGCTAGTCTAAAGTAATGGTAATGGTTGGAGACTTATATAGCGCAAAGTATATGGTCTCTATACTACTAGTACTACTGCACTGTAATGCATAGGCCTATTTTAATACACTACTTCTTAGATAGGCTTTTCTTTTTCCATCTTGATTTCAGAGGTCAAAAACATTTTTCAATTTTTTTTTACAATCATATAGTGGTGTAGAATAGTCTTTTCAGAACATTTTCCAGAAAAAATTAATGTGATACGACCATCCATTATGGAGTTATGAAATTTTAGATAACACAAGGACAAGAATTCAGCCTCAAAGATTATCTTATTTCTGTTGGTTATGCACCACTGACTTTGGTTGTTTGTCATCACTTCAAGATGTCTACCAATTCATGGAAAAGGCATATTGTTTACCTTAAACCATATGGTCAGACTAAGGTCAAGCCATCAATATCAAGGTATAAGCTGACCCTGTGCAGAGGTGGATGGAAGATATTTTTAGCTGGTAGTGTGAAACTATGGTCTTAAAGTGGAGGGTCTTGAATTCTGGAGTGTAAGCCATTTTAATCACCTATCTAAATGATTTAACACTTAGCGGTTAGAGATTTTTTTTGCTGCTTACAGACCTACTCAACATCCTAAGATCTGCTACAGCTGTGTTATTTATACTCTCACTGCAAGTTGAGATAAGTGTTTACCTGCTGAAGTTTTATGCATTATTCAATCTATAACATTTACTGTGCAGACAAAATGCATCAGAACCCTGATTAAAAAATACATGTGTCTCCTTAAAGGCCAATAAGAAAAATTATTGTGTTGGCCATGCCCGACCAACCAAAATTTTTTTTTTTTTTTACTACAAAGATTATTTGATAGATACAAAGATAATTTTTTTCATGAGATTATAAGGCTGGAATAGTCTTGGACTAGGATAGGGAGCCAAGGCCTAGCGTATTTTGGTGCATGTTATGCGATGCGAATCCAAAATTATTGTATCAATTGCGTATTTTATACTTTTTAAGCGTAAACACATTTTTGGTATTTAAAAAAAAGTTTTCCTACTGACCTACCCATTTTTTGGATTTTCCCAAAACGTGGCCAACACAATTGTTTTTTTTAATTTTTTTGGCCTAATAGGAGTGTCCCAAAGGGAGGGTTCTACAGTAATAAAAATTTCAGAAAAAAAAATTCTTGACTTACTTTAAATGTCATAAAGTGTAATATGTAGTCAAGGTTACAGACAAGAGAGTCATAGCCTTCTTCTTCTATCGTTTTCATAGTGACTGGTAGCGTTACAAATGCTTTGCTGCAAGCATCAAAGACATAGTCACTCCCCTATAACAGAACATAGTGTACTATTATGAATCACATAGTGATGAGAAAGAGAAACTAAATGACAGAGAAAAAACCTACAACTCCCCCTAAAGACGTAACGAAAGTATTAAATACTGTAAATTGTTACTATTCCTGAAGGCACAAGAAAATAATAACAGCAGCAACAGTAATGGTATCCATTGGTAATAATATAATAATATAAAAAACAATTTCTTATTTAATAATAGCATTGGAGTGATGTTTTTCCCTACCTGACGTGCTATCGTATCGAATATTCACTAAAAAAAATTCGGAAGTAATTCACCACTCCTATGATATCTTCTTGATGCAAACACACATTGCAAATTCAAAATAGCACATTAACAGATATAATGTCTTGCTGACTTTATACATTTTGAATTACACAGATTATTATAAGAATCTTACCACGTGAAGAATTAATATCCTGGCCCCAGATAAAACATCAACATTCAGTACCTGCAAGATGAATAATCCAAAACACAGTTATCAAATGAAATATACAGATGCACTGTATTTTTTATGGAATGAAGTGGGTGGCCTAGTTTTACCAGAGAGGGGAGTGGGATTAGGGTTTGCTTAAAGGGGGTATGGCAGAGCCATATAACCCACTTCATTTCTGATTACATACCTGAATGTTAGTATTACCTTTATTCGTTGCACTGTGATTGCTTCATTCTTATTTAAAATGTCTATGAAAAATGAAATGAGAATAATGCAAACACCACAAATTACCGTAAAATTCTTCTTAGCACTTAGATGTTCAGCCAGGACGAGTAATGCATTCAATGTAGCGCCTCCGCTTCCAACACTGCCCTCTGGATCTTCAACTGTTACTATCACAACATTCTTATCAATAAGACCCTTTTTCTTTCGCATTTCAAGTTCTGAAAAACGTTGGGAAAAAGGATTAGTGGTACTCTTTTGAAAAGCTTTGAAAATTGTATACATATAATTCATGGGAAAAATCAGGAAGCAATAAGGGGCAAAAAGAGACAGCTGGTGGGGGAAGAATGTATCCCCTCCAGTGGTGGACCGTAGGGTAAATTGCAGGGTTGCTAGGTATTGGCATAGGGTGTGCGAGTGCGTGCACGCTCGCCATCCCCCCCACCCCAAAAAATATATTTTCCATCCCCTAGTTGCGCCCCCCTGCCCACAAATCATGCTCAAGTAGTTAAAAATCACCTCAAATTACCTTACTTTGTGCACACCCCCCCTCACCTAATCACCAATCGCCCACTTTACCTTCCTGCCTTCATAACTTTAATCATTGAGATTAGGCCTATTGATAGAATACCTGATCGGCAGTGGAGGTCCCGATTTGTGAGAAGAGCATGCGCACATACTCTTGGAAGCACCGTTTCCATTCCAGTGTTAAATTGGCTATTCTGACGCCACCGCATGGTTGTCACAATAGCAAATTTAAGCGTTGTAGGGTATGCTCTGACTCCTATTGACTCACTAAATACGTGATTGACTGATATTGAAAACCTCCAATGCGTAAATACTAAGCAGCTGAGAATACAATGTGATAGGCCTGACTGTGACTTATCCTAGATACCAAAGTAGGACAAATATTGAAAAACTTTGCTATTCCAATGAACTGTAGCAATCCACTCGAAAAATTAATGTTTATGTAGAAGATTCTGACTAAGAATAAAATGGAAAAACTGTACTACTATATTTTAAAAAAATTTGTTTTAGCCAGGGTATGCACTGCATACCTTGCTTGCCTTGACAGTCTGCCACTGATCCCCTCCCCAATTCAACTGCAGCCTGCTTCTATTTCCCTGTTACATTTACTGCCATAATCCATTTTCTGATTATAAAAATTATCTCACCTCTTTGATAGACATGGGCATCAACCTTATTACGACAAGTGAGTGCAATCGCAGTCCACTGAGCTCGTTTTCTCACGTACTGTCCATCTTCATTTATGCAGTCAAGTTCATCCAGCTGCAAATGACCAAATTCCATTATTTGAATTTGTCCCAAAAAAACCAGTCTAATTAAAACTCTCTTCACTCTGTCAAATTTATGTGACAAAAACAATGTGATAAGCCAATAAATTGGTTGTAATATGACATCATCATGTCCATATATGGGCACATCACAAAAATTATCACATAAAATTTGATAGTGTGGACAGAGCTTAAAGCTCTGTCCACACTATCAAATTTTTTTTGACAAAAAAACTGTTGTATGCCCATATATAGTCTTGATGTGCCTATATATGGTCATGATGTGATGTCATCACGACCATATTTAGGCATGTCACATGTTTTTGTCAAATAAAATTTGATAGTCGACAGGAAGACTATGTTGCTTTTTCTGGTAAACTCAAATTTTAAAACATTGTCTTTGTTATTATGCAAAATAGCATTCAAATGATATCAGTGACCTCCGACATGGAGCACACATAAAGATCTCAAAAAAATATGATTACCAGTTTTTGAAGTCGTTTGGTTTCAGCAATCCATTTTCCAATTTCTGCTTTGTTGCCTTCACTACCTGTCAATTTACTGTCCATTTTTTCTTTTGGAAAATCTTGTTTAACAACTTTAAAAAAAAGAATGAATGATAGAGATGAATGTTTTATGTGCTATACAAGTGCACAACCACTAACATTATATATAATGCAATACTCAACAAAGAAAGCCTATTTGTTAGGCGTGGGTGGTGGAGGTGGGAATGGAAATTATGAGAACTACAGCAAAATGAAAGGTTTATGGCAAATTTGCTAAGTAAAATGTATATAAGGGAATTTCTTTACAACTGGTTATTGTGCTAAGAGTTGTTCATTCAAGCACATAATTCTTATGTGAAAACCACAAAATGTTGAAACCTCTTTCAAAGTGATATAACATTGTGTCAAAAAAGTTGGCAATAATATTCAAAATCAGGCAAATAAACATGACTCTTTTGTTACTGCTACTTTTCTGATTGGATTGGATTGGCTTGGATTTATTCGGTGTAAACTCCAAGGATAGCCCACGAAAGTCTAGAAGAAGACTTATTTCCAGTGGGGTTATTCTGGTGGAGATTGATCAGTACACCGGGAGACAATCCCCTGCTCTTTTCCGAAGAGTGTACTGCGTTCTTTAACATACACATGGGCTATAAATGCACACGGGCCCAATGGCTTACACGTCTCATTCAAAACACGGTGTGCTATTGTAACTTGTATTTCAGCCCTCCAGCTGAAACACAAGGAGAAGCAGCAATGGGAATTCACGTCGGGACATAGAGATCTCCATGGTTCAGCGCACACACAGTGGCAACCACCAGATTAGCCAACTGAGCTACTCTTTCTACACAATACAAAAGCAAACAAAGTGAAAAGTTTCTGAACAAAGCACAATGTTTTTCATGGGCAATAATAATGCATAATGTAAATAGGACACCTTTTGTAACTCTTATTTAGCTGACCTCTTTTAATAATCAACCCATTTAACTTCCTACAGTATGGCTGAACTACATTTAGTTTCCATTTATGGATGAAAAAAGGTTTCAACAATTGCCTTGACCTACAATATAAATAATTCAATTTTATGGCAAGTAAAAAGAACTAACAACTCCTTGATAGAATGTGGTGCAAAGATGAGCAAAAATGGACCAAATTTGTATTTTTGGGGGTCCTCAGGGGTGGATCCCCTTTTGGCAGTCAAAAAAAAATTTTTAATAGGGAAAAAATTATCGCGACTGCCGATGTGTTTGTGTCGGAATAATGGTTATTCAGACAGTTCTTCCTCTGTAATAGTCTACTCTCTGCTGATCGAATCCTCCGTACGTGCGGTAATACCATGTGTAGGCTCGCCTTCTCAGTGACGGATCAATTTTTTTGTTGCATGAGCGGCAATCAAGGACCATGGTCCAAAGGAGGCGGAACCTATGGTCGAGAAAAGAATGTTTTCTTACATTTTGAGGCTTAGGAGTTTTAGTCATTTTAATGTCACTACTGTACTGATGATTTCATGCTTCATGGTTGGTGTTTCTGTCTGCTGCTTGGGGGTGGTGAGTGCTCTTTGCCACCCATTGATCTGTTACTACTTCTGGTGAATTGGGTAGTACATTGGGAAACAATTCCCTAAGCCTACTCTTTTGCTAAAGAGTGACTGGAATTGAATCAGGAACCAAAAATCTGAAAGGTGAAAATACCATTTTATCATCCATGGAGTTTATATAATCAGGTCCTTGCTCGAGCTCACTGGATATCTAGGGAAAATCAAAATGCCCTGTAGTTAATGGATCCTCAACTGCCATTAGTAGTTGCATTCTCAATGAGGTCATTGCACTGGAATCGCCTACAATAACGATAGGTGTGTACACACCCCCTTCCCCAATCGGAAAAGGTCCAAATTTTTAAGACAGTCATGAGGTACTGAACGCATTACTATTTGGCTAATCAAATGGCATAGTAATGAAAAATTGAATATTGTAATTAATCCAACCAGATCTGCCCTCCATTTTTTTTCACATCCCCACACACCCCTCCTTGAGGCAATCCAGGATATGATCTTTTGTATAATAAAATTTGTTTAATCAAGGAGCTCTTAGTTCTTTTTGCTTGTCATGGGATATTGAATAATTTATATTGTAAATCAAGGTCAAGCTAACAATTCTTTTCATCAATAAAACGAAATTTAATGCTAGAATAGGCATAGGAAATTAAATGACCAAATTATAAAAGCAGTGAGCAATCTGAGTGACAAAAGGCATCCTATTTAATGCATTATTGTTGCCCATGACAGAAGGTTGTGATTTATCTCCATTTTTACTTTGACTGCCCAGCAATAAAAGAGTTTCATATTCCTGATTTTTAATCTGAGGTGGTACTAACTGACAACATTACTAATT